GATAGATAGATAGATAGATAGATAGATAGATAGATAGATAGATAGATAGATAGATGATAGATAGATAGATATCATATCTTAAATATATATATTTCACATTGCCATTTAGAAAAAATAATAAGAAAATAAGGGGGGGAAATTTAAAAAAAAAACCTAGCAATAGAATAAAGTAAATAAGGAATTTACAAATGTGCTGAAGTTCACGGTTTTATCATATTCATAAGTGATTAAAGATACCCAAATACGTTTTGATTGTAAAACTCAACTATTAAATTTTATAGACAATACAAACATCAGGGTAACAAATAATACAGTATACAGATCACAGAATAAAAATTGTGAAATCATAAATGGTGATGAATTATTTTTTAAGAAAAATGTTATACTGTATAATGTATAATATCCAAAAACGGAACAAAATATTAAAATGTAAAAAGGGGAAGAATCATTACAACATTACAGCATTAAAATACTACTCGCTTACAATTCATGTCCTTCCATCCCATGATATACCCTGGCAGTTGATTGAAACCAATATTTTGGGAAAGGTTTTTGCTTTGACTCCTTTCACCTACTTCAATTTTACTTTCCCCTCAGAAATTGTGTTCTAAACAGAAAAGTTTGCCTTGTAGGGTAATTTATTTTTTATAAGGGACCCATTCCTACTTGAATTTACTGTTATGTTTTTTTTTGGGGGGGGGGGGAGTGTTTACATTCCAGATAACACTACGCAAACTGTTTAAATTCCAAATGCCAACATCTTCTTTTCAGAATGGCTCGACCAATCCTTCCCCTCTGGCATCTCTTGAAGGACCCACAGATGGGGTCCTATCACCTGGAGCTTCCACAGGAATGGTTCCACCTCCACCTCCTCCACCTCCTCCACCCCCGCTGCCACCCCCACCCCCACCTCCACTACATGGATTACCAGGGTCTCAACGCTCCCCTGCTCCTCAGTTGCTGCCATTCGGATTGAAACCTAAAAAAGAATTTAAGCCTGAGGTGACCATGAAAAGAGTCAACTGGTCCAAGGTAAGGCATGGAAGACTCTAGAAAGAGTGCAGAGAAGGGCAACCAAGAGGATTAGGGGAATGGAGGCTAAAACATATTAAGAACAGCTGCTGGAATTGGGGTAAGTCTAGTTCACGGGTGTCAAACTCAATTTCATTGAGGGCAACATCAGGGTTATGGTTGACCTCGGAGAGGGCATGGCTGACTGGGTGGGTGGGTATGGCCAACTGTGGGCGTGGCCAGTTTGATGCCACTCCCCAAACTGCTGGCATGTTTCCTCTTTGCATTGGGTAACCTGGGCCGAAGCCAGGCTGGACCGATCTTTCCAATTTGCATTGGGAAGACTAGGACGGCCCCAAGGGCCGGATCCAATCACATTGTGGGCCAAATCCGGCCCATGGGCGTTGAGTTTGACACCCCTGGTCTAGTTTAATGAAGAACTAAGGGTGACATGATAGCAGTCTTCCAATATCTGAGGGGCTGCCACAAAGAAGAGGGAGTCAAGCTATTCTCCAAAGCACCTGAGGGCAGGACCAGAAGCAATAGGTGGAAACTAATCAAGGAGAGAAGCAACCTGGAACTAAGGAGAAATTTCCTGACAGTGAGGACAATGAATCAGTGGAACAACTTGCCCCCAGAAGTTGTGGTTGCTCTAGCACTGGAGGTTTTTAAGAAGAATTTGGACAACCATTTGTCTGAAATGGTACAGGTCTTCCTGCCTGAGCAAGGGGTTGGACTAGAAGACCTCCAAGGTTCCTTCCAACTCTGTTGTTCTGTATTCCAAGGAAGCAAAGTATCTCATACACTGCAGGGTGGGGATACATTCCAAGAATACTCAGTGACTGAATTGTAGTTTTCAATCAAAGACGTATCAAGCAGTGACAGTGGAGATGTTCAATGGAAGGGAGGAAATTGCTTTAGCCTGCCAGCATCATTCTTCTTTCATGGGTGTTGCATTGTTATCATGCAGATGTTGATCATCTGTTTTCCTTCCTTCTTGGTTGGTCCTCCATTTCTTAATTTTCAATGTGTGGTCTTTTAACTGCTATTGTAAATAATTCGCACTTCGTGACGTCTTTGAAAGCAGTTGATGTGGGTGTTTTGAACTTCATGAAACCTTCGCAAATCTAAAATGCCTATGGAGATTCTCAGTCATCCAGGACATGGTTGTCCCAAGGGTGCTTTTCAGGGGTGGGATTCTACCAGTTCGCACCTATTCGATAGAACCGGTTGTAAACATTCTAAGCAGTTCGGAGAACCGGTTGTTAGAAGAAATTACTGGCCTAATCCTGTAAGGAAGGCAGGAAGGAAACATTCTGGTGTTGCTTACAGAAACTGCCTCTCCGTTAACCCTTATTACATTCTTGGTAGGACTAGACTTCCTCTCTCTGGAACCTCTCTGGAGTTTTTTTCCCCTCCTTTGCTGGTACTTTGCTTGTGTGGAGTGACCATTCAAAGTTACAATGGCACTGAAAAGAGTGACTTATGACCATTTTTCACACTTACGACTGTTGCAGCATCCCCACAGTCATGAGAGGCCCGGTGAGGAGATGCGTGCCTCGATGTGAGTGATATTTAGTTGGCCACACCCAGCCAATAACATGACTACCAAGCTATGTCCACCCAGTCACATGACCACCAAGCCATGCCCACCAACTAAGCCACGCCCACAGAACTGGTTGCTAAAAATTTTGAATCCCACCCCTGGTGCTTTTTCAAGAGTCAACTGGACTTTCTGTTTTTTTTCTTTGAAGATGTTTTGCTTCTCATTCAAGAAGCTTCTTCAGCTCTGACTGGATGATGGGGAATAGAAGGATTTATGTTTCTTGCAGACAGCTGGTCATTTGCATTCTTTAAGAGAGCCATTGAGACCACCTGGAGGTTTATCCATGTCCTCAGGATCACCTGACTAGCAAAAATGGGCTTGGAGCATTCTTGAAACTATTGAAAGGACTGTGTTGTAGATTGGAGATAGATGATGTCATATCCCAACCCCTGTGTTGAGAGAGGGCTGTTGAATTTTGACATAGATGGCCTCTTGGATCCCTCTTTCAAACCAGCGGTCCTCTCTGTCCAAAACATGGACCTTGTTGTCTTCCAAAGAGTAGCCTTTTGTCTTTTAAATGCAGATGGACTGTTGATTCTAGTCCTGATGGATTTGTTCTCTGTTGTGCGTTTTGGACAGAGGCCCACTGGTTTGAAAATTAACCTCTAGTTTAATCACCTGCTGAAGCAGGAAACCCTATACTATTTCTGACACATAGTTGTCCATCCTCTTCTTAAAAGGATCTATTAAAAGGATCTAATTTAAATAGATCCTACAAAAGATCTATTTAAGGATCTACTTACGCCCATGCCACTGCGGTCTACATCTCCCCAATATTCTTAACATCTCTAGCATGTTTTATTCTGCCCCAGTACTGTATTCTAATCAACAACATTCATTAGTTGAAGAATATCCTATTTCTGTAACTGATCGTTTGGAATTAGGTCAGAAGTACAGAACTTGTTTTAATGCTTTTTTAAAAAAAAAACAATTTGTAAAGTGCCCAGAATTGTTTGGAGTCGGGGTGGTAAGTATAGAAACAAATATACTTCTGATTTCTTCTGAACCACAGTCAATTGAAACAGTGGTGGGATTCAATTTTTTTTACTAGCGGTTCTGTGGACGTGGCTTGGTGGGTGTGGCATGGGAAGGATACTATAAAATCTCCATTCCTTCCCCACTCCTGGGGGAAGGTTACTGCAAAATCCCCATTCCCTCCCCACCCCACTAACCTGCTTTCCAGCTCCATTCTCCTGTGCAGGGCAACCAAAGAAGACCCAGCCAATCAGCTGGGACTCGGGAGGCAGAGAACAGATGGGGGCAGGGCCAGTCAGGTGGTATTTGCCGGTTCTCCGAACTACTCAAAAATTTCCGCTACCAGTTCTCCAGAACTAGTCAGAACCGGCTGAATACCACCTCTGAATTGAAACCCTCACTTCAAAAGGCAATGGCGTTAGCACCAAAAGTAAACTTGATTTTTGTTTTTTGTTTGTTTGTCCAGACTCTGCTATTTTAAAGCGTCTGAAGGAGTTAAAAAACACAGATTTTTATCCCATAAATCTACCCACATTCTCCAAAAGAGACCAGGGTTGTTGTTTTTTTCCCACTCAAGAATCTTCAGGCTGTAGATGGTGGGTGGCCTTTTAGATTGCCCTAAGAGCCACATGTTTTTTCCCCCTTACGAAGTATGGTATTAACGATAACAGGAAATTAAGAGGTATATATTCCCTCTGCAGATTAGACCCCAGGAAATGACTGAAAACTGTTTCTGGGTAATGGCCAACGATGGAAAGTATGAAAGTACCGATTTGCTATGCAAGCTAGAACTTACCTTTTGTTGTCAGAAAAATGGTAAGTTAATTATTTTTCTGTTTTAGAGCCTTTTAGAAAACGTGCCTATTTTATTTTCAATAAACACCTGCAGTCCTTGCCCCTACAGCTGATGAATATTTATGTGTGTCATATAAAATTGTTGCATTAATAACTGAGGTTGCCATCATTTATAACTGCGGCACATGCAAGATAGAACTTAGCCAATAGTATTATTTTCACTTTTCCATTTAAGCTTTCCTCGTATAATGCAATTAAGAAAAGCATGCACTTACTGCTGAAATATCTCCACCGAGCTGTTAAAATGACTGTTTATTATAGACTATGGAGAGTGTGACTAAAAGCTGGGGAAAATATACCATGTATTTTAGTTCTGAGCAGTAATTTGGCGGGAGGCCGATTATTTTGGCTCCTAGTTCTTTTTAAAGTGTGCTAAGCCCTTTGGAAATATGTAATATACCCAGAAGGAGGAGTAATCACCAAAGGAAGTTATTTTAAGTTACACTCAAACTGAAAATATTCTAAGAAGAAACAGCAGTGTGGAAAATGCAAAAGAAAAAGAAAAAAAAGAATGCTATCCCTACTTCATCTTCAAAAATGTAATTCAGTGGTCAAGACTATTCGATGGAATAGTCCAATGGTGGCTAACCTTTTTGGGCTCCTGTGCCAAAAATTGCGTGTGCGCCAGCACGCACGCACTTGTGTGCCAGCACCCAGAATGCAACGCGCCCCCCCGCTCCCTACACCCCTGTGTGCAATCACCCCACCCCCTTACCTGCACTGTGCCTCACAGCTGATTTTTCGGCTGATTTGAGGCCTTTTTCAACCTCCCGGAGGCTTGGAAAAAGCATCTGCAAGGCGTTTTAGGACGAATTATAGGCCCGTTTCGTCACTTCCGGTATTACAGAAGGTGACAGAATGGGCCTATAATTCGGCCTGAAAAGCCTTGCAGATGCTTTTTCCA